AATCCGGATCATATTTTTGATGCTGAGTGCTGTTGACCTCCACACAGACTTGAGAGTAGTGAAATCTTGTCTTGCTTTTCCGATTCTTGCTTTGATATCCTCGTCAGTTCCGCTGGCCTGTAGGTGAAACGATGCTTCCCAGATAGGTGAAAGAGGTTGTTTCTTTCAGGTTCCTTCCATTTATGCTAATTGTTGTCTGTTTTTGTTGTTGCTGTTGGTGGTGTTGCCCAGGAATCTTCATCACCATAGTTTACCTTATTTTATTCACTCAATATTATTTTGGTTCAGCTTTCAGGTTCATCTTATTAGATCATATTCATTAGGCTCAAAAATTGTGTGCATTGTTGTTTGTGTAAAGCCAAAACGAACCCAGATTCGTTAAAACAGTGTGATATTCTCTTGCTTTGTTGCTTTTTAATCAGATACGAATAATTTATGCAGTATATAATAAACTATCAATGATGAAACTGACTGACTGACTACTGGTTGCAACATAGGACTTTGCACCGATGTGCAGCAGTTCGAGTCGTCACACTCCCTCTTTGTAGCACACAAAGCAAGAGAATAAAGTAAAAGGAAATGCAATAATGAAACACATAGTTCCAGCTCCCTGACTGATGTTTAGCGTTAATTTGCATATTGAATTAGTTTCAGCATATTGGCTATTGGCAGTCAAGAAGTTACGGGGTATATTCTTCGAGGATTCACTATCTGCTTCCACTTCACGTTGTCGGTTGGGTGTACTATCCATCAGTTCGTTATATGCTACTCTAAGACCATGAAGCATGTCTATACAAGTTTAAACAAACAAAATAACTCTAGATATGTGATCACCTTTCCTCTCTGTCTTTCTTTCCCAAAAATATTTCTTATGCTCAGCATGATATGTCGAACAGGTGAGATAAATCACTTAGTGAGTTTTTTAACCCTGAAGTGATCGGAATGGTTTTAAGACGTATTGCATATGAGTCATGTGTTGCGTCAGCAAATACTCTAAGTTATGGGATTGATCACGAGGTGAAATCAGTTGGATAACCATTGGAAAATCTGGGAGTACCGGACAGTTGTTTGTCCTAATTTGGGATGCTTCATCGGTACACACTCCCCGGAATTCGAACCCAGGACCTCCCCGTAACCAATCAAATGCGTGCAAACCAATACGTGACAATTAATCTAATGCTCAATAGCGACTGGCCCTATACAAGATGTACCTGAGGTTCTAGTGAAAATTCGTAATCAGAGGAGTTCACCAAATCAGGCAAGAGGCCAGTTACTAGCCTGTGACACTGGCTGGCAGTTGCGCTGAATAAATATCACGAATTGGCAGAAATTGGAATTCATGAAGCATTCGGTCGTTTCCCATTGGCTTAACGGTCTACGAGATCTCCTCGTCACCGGAAGGTCCTGGGTTCTGCTATAACTGCACTGATCTGAATAAAACTCGTCGCCACTTTGTTATATATGCGCTGCTATTCATAATAACGGTGATGAACTCGACTGGTAGGCTAATACGCTTATTTGTCCGTTGCACTTTCCGACTTCACCGAGCCACGCAAATGTCAAAAAACAAAGGCTGGCCTGTGACTGTAAGATATTGTACATATTTATTAGGAAACAAAACATCATATTTATACATTTCTTTACCACAATGAAGTCGACTCACAACCATGGGAATGGATTGTTCTTATTGGCTGGCAGTAGCTATCCTGATTGGTTGGCGATCCGACAAAGACCAAGGTGAGACAAAGATGATGAATTGATCACACACTAAATCACAAGATTCTTGAGAAAGGATAATATACTCTTTTATGCGGGATCCTATTAGTTTCGAGCCTTGGTACGAGGTGAGTATTGATAAACAGTCCCAAAGTAGAAGGAAACAACTGTCCAGTACTCCCAGGTTTTCCAATGATTCTCCGATTGGTGTCAGTTCGTGATCAATCCTGTGACTAATCAGATCCTTGCAAACCAGCATTCTAAGTTATGTCAAGTTGGAGCGGAAGTGGGTTAGATGGCATTTCAACATTTTCATTTCAAAGCACAATATCTATTAAAGTTGATATCTAGTGGTTAATAAACTTTAGGTTTACTGGATAAGTCTGCGAATGTTGAACAATTGTACTCTCAATCCTTATTCTTCATACCATATGGAGTGATTTTATGCTCCTATTGTAAATATTTTCATTCAATCTTTATTACTTTATCTATTTTACATAACAACGTTTGATTTTCTTATTGTTTTCCTGAAGTTTCCAATATATTTGTCTTCTAACAGTTGGTATTTTCGGGGTAATCTGCGTGTTAGTCACTTCAACTTTCTTTTGAGTTTGTGCAATATTCTAAGAGTCTAAAAATGTTTCTCATCTCCTGTGCTTAATTTCGAAAAGTTATAGCTTGTTTACTCGACCCCTGTTTAACATTTTTCGTCGTTGAGGTTATAGAGGATAAATCTGTTTTTTAAACATTTTTATGTTGTAGGCATACTACGAAGCTTGTCCACAACACAGTGCTAACATTCATACATGAATATTCCAAAAATTACACACTTAAGACAAAGATATTCAAGGGTGGTTTACGTTAACGAGATGTTCCTTGTGAAGACTGTTTACAAAAACAGCTGCATTGCTCCCACAAGTAGTGACTTACAACGTACTACTATTATCACGATTTTTTATGATAGTCGATAATACTCCTTAGAGACTTTTGATGAAGTCGCACAGCAATATTATATATATGTGAATTTCTATTAAAGCAACACTGAGGTTACCCGAATTTCAGATAGTTAATTAGAAATCAATTAGAAAACCATTGAAAACCAGGGAGTACTGGACAGCTGCTGTTTCATCCTAGTTTTGGAATCATCTAGGATGAAACAGCAGCTGTCCAGTACTCCCTGGTTTTCAATGGTTCTCTAATTGATATCAGTCCGTGATCAACTCGTAAAACATAACTAACCCTTACAAACCAAACTATAGAAAGTTAATTAGAAAAGTAGTGTGTATAAATATGCTTTTCACCTTCGAACCGTAAAATACTTTTATACAAATGATGAGGTCTTGTAGTTAAAAAGTTTATGTATCTTGGCATGAATGGAGATATTTTTTTTTTCCTTCACGTTCCCCAGTGGAATATAGGGCTTCAAGCTAGTGGCTTTAAGTTTCTGTGGCAGTGTTTATTTTACAGGATGGGATTGCTAGCCTCATGCCCAACCTTTCCTCTTCACCAGTATTATTTCTGGCTTAGCGAGGTAAAGGAGTGCGTCGGCCAGGGATCGAACCCCGGACCATGTGTATGGTCGGCGAGCGTCCTAACCGCTATGCCACCGACGCACAAATGGAGATATGACAGAGATGAAATTTCCACTTGTTCATGAAATCTACGCTGGCATACACCACCGTCGTCGTCTTCATATGGATAGTTCACATTTATTGTCAACACCGGGAAAAGTATATGTTTAAAGTCAGTTTTGTTTTTCCTGTTCACTGATTCGACTGCAATGTTTGGCCTCTGTTGACATTTCGGCTGTCTAGTGTGTATGCTTCGGCTTAGAGAAATGATAACTGATGCCTTGTCGCACAAGTGAGTGGTTCAAGTCGTCTAGTGGGTAACGTAACGTGCTTAGGTGTTTGAAACGATGAGGACTCATTGGCGATTGCAGGTACTTCCAGCTGACGAGTCCCAAAATAACAATGAAAAGTAATCCGTAGCGTATCATTTCTGGACTGAGACTATAACGTCTACTGTTTCCACTCGATATTGACTGGATGTACTGAGAGCCTAGTTACTCTGTAACATGGAATCGTAGGCTATTGTATAGTTACCTTGTAATCTCTTTTGAAAGGTTCTGAGGATCATGCAGTTAATGTCGTCGTCAAATATAATTTAAGATTGAACTGAGTGGAGGCAGAGTTGCATTTCTTCTTATGTTATTAAAAATAAATATAACAGTAGTAGGAAATTTTTGATTGAGTACAACAAGTAATGATATTCCAATCATTGTACTGTAACCCCTTAACAGTATTTTCTTTTTGTTTTTTGAGTTTTGTGTATGATTGGGCATCAGTGGTGCAGTGGTAGAATGCTCGCCAACCATGCGTGTGGTTTGGTGTCTGATCTCCCACCAACACACTCCTAAACCTCTATTAACCAGCAGTTACCTCGGTAAAGAGAGTAGGTTGGGTCTGAGGCTAGCGAAAATAACACAAAGTGCTACAGAAACTTCAAAGCTCAAGCTGGAAGCCCCCTGTGTTTCACTGGAGACTTAAATGGACTAAAAATATTCTGTGTGGTGTTTATCGATGCTCAGTTTTTCTTTCTCCTGAGATATGTGTTCCGAATAGATAAAAGTCTCCTACGGACAAATGTCCGCTATGTTTTTCCTCATGTTATAGAAAGTATATTCTCCTAACATCTCAGAATACAATTATTCATATTGTAGATTCATATGCCATGAAGGTGTATAATTGATTAAAAATGCCACACCCAATTATATAATGCATATTATTCCAAGTCCAGTTGTCAAATCGCATATATTGACCGGATTCAATGGAAACTTTTCTTTTTTTTTAATTGTTGATTATTGATTGCTTCTGAAAACCATCTAGTAATCATGGGTGTGTCGATGCGGATGACTACTCATTGAGTAGAGATGGATTGCCCAGAATGACATGCACAATAATAATAATAATACGACATAATCTCTCATAAATTTGTAAATTTTCTGATTTCAGAGTGAAACAGCTAACCGAGTTATATACACTCAGATTTCGCTCAATTTTCTATTGTGTTCAGAAAACGAGGTATCTTTGTCAAATAAAGCGAAATCATAAATCAAACAGCGCGCCATAAGATATTTGTTTCGCTTTCTAAATAGTAAAACAAAGTTTACTGTACGCATTATTTATTTGGCATTTTGTATGTCACTTTAGTCAGATATTATGTGTTAATTGTCTATATAGAGTGAAATAAATAAGACTATTCATCTGTTTCATACTTTATAGGTAAAGGATCGAGGTAGCATAAAGGGAATGTTCGGTAAAGATTACTTGGTGACGACACTTATGCTACCAGTCATTTGGTTCAGTGCAGCATTCTGTTATTATGGTATTGTTCTTTTAAGTGCTGAAATATTTCGTATTAGACACGCTTGTTTTGGAGGTAAGTTATTTATTTATTTATTTTTTAACATGTTAATGGCATAATTAGAAGATTTTGTTTTTAGCTTCTGTGTCTAATACATATGCGGATTTCCTGCTTATTGTAGTGTGTTAATATAAAGTGTGTTGATTTAAGTACACTTGGTGCATATTGACTAACAATCGAATCTAGGATGCGCATGTCGTCGTGGATTCCACTGTTAGTCAGCATGCACTATGTAATATCATTGTAAACGTTCCTGAGATATCGTCCAGACATCCATACTACTAGTTTGGTGAGAGCTGGCTGCTAGCCAGATTGGTAGACAGTAATTTACGTCAATGTTTATGTCCCAAATATTAGTCATGTGAAAACAAGAACAAAGACTGATAGCAGACTGTGCGTAGGCGGATACAATTAGCAGGTAGATGATCTGACATTCAAGAGACAGCCACAAAGAGATGAAAGAATAACTCTCAGTGAGAAACAACCAATCGGAAGACTGTGTTTGTCTGCTAACAATAATCCTTAATAATGTACATGAAAAGCTATAAATATGTGTTGATTTTCCTTAATAAACGATCTGTTTCCTTCTGTTGTTGCACTAGTAGCAAACATATGTCAAAGACACGAAACATTTCTGTCCAATAAAATCAGTGATCAGAAAGTACGAAACTAACTGAAATGATTTAAGCGTACTTTTCTACACAGAGTGGCATCTGTTAGAGAACCATTGAAAAATAAACCTATTAGTTTTTTCTCCATACGTTGGAACTCTTCAGCAATGTACACATCACGTCCATGGCTTATGGATCATAAAAGCATCGGGTATTGTGTTTACGTTTACCAATGATAATTATGTTCTATATTTCATGTTTTGCCATTATCGAACAAAACGTAGAATAGCTGTCGAACCTGTACCTTAACTTCATCGACTTTGAAAAGGCCTTCGACAACGTCGACCGTATCGAGAAGTAATTTGGAAACTGCTTTAACACTAAGGATTGCAGTGCCCGAGTCTTTATCAACCTCATTCAACAGTTCGCTATATGACAATTCCATGTTTCAGGTGGTCCACAACGAAAAACGCAGTGAGACGTTCGAAGTGAATATGGGAGTAAGACAATTTTGCCTATTATCACCGATGATATTCCTAATTGTGGTGGATTTGATTGTGCGGCACACCGTGGAAAATGAGCGAGGAAACAGGAATACGTCCGACTGATAAGAAGACTTTAGGAGATCTGGACGTCGCATGGGACTTATACTTAATGTCACACAAACTCGAAGACTTAGACGAAAAATAGCAAAGTGGCAGAAGGGGCAAGCAGTCAAGAAAGGACTTCAAATGGACATAGAGAAGATGGAGCTGATAAAATTTACCAACCAACAACAATAAGCACCAATCACTCTGAATGAGAGATATTTGAAAGAGATTACTACCTTCACTTATCTAGGAAACTGACGAAGATGTCAAAACCTTCATCACTCTCAAATCAGTTTGGAAATCTGCTGCAGTCAACATAAGGAACAAGATTCGAATTTTCAACACCAATGCTAAGTTACTCACCTTGTGTATATGGGCCGGTCCCTCACTGATTGGACACATCGGAGGAGACTGTTGGGTGATATCGGATGCCGGACCCTCAAGGGACTCTGCATGAGAAACAATGATAGTGATATGGGGGAGATCGTATGAGCTGGAGATAAGAGCCTATGCACCCTCGTGAAGCCAGCTGAAGAGGACAGCAGAAAATAGGACATAGTGAGATTGTTATATTGAAGCCCTTATACTTCATTCAGAACCCAAGGAAACAACAATAATAACCACTTCATATTTACCTGATTCTGTTAGTTCAAGATGTAGTGTGAGTAGTGTCTATCTATGCTGAAAACTTCACTGAAATCCACTTGTTTCTGTACAAACGTAGAAGCAGATTTAGTTTGTATACCTTCATATAATTTAATTCAAATTACAACATACGTAAATATATTACTAAGGCTTTTTCTTCTTTCCCTTTTGCTTTCATATTAGAATATGTTCAAACTCCAGATTATCATGGTAACTGGAGTCAAGGTCATGTTCCGCCTCTTTTAGAAGCTCCACGTCAACTCGATAACTCTTGTTGTAAAGATTTGTCACATGATGATTATGTGGCTATGCTAATTTCTTCGATTGGGGAATTTGTTAGTAAGTTCGATTAGTTCAGTTTATTCATTTTTTTTTTGAAGTTGATCAATTTTACGAGGATTTTGATTTTAGCCAGAGGACAGCTCTTTATTGCAAACTATTCTCATTGAAGAACGTACTGTAATTTAGCAGAAAAATAGCATGCCTTCTCTCACTTTCAGACTGCTGTTGTTCGACTCGTTTAACCGAAACAGATTTTTGTTTATTTGTCAGACTTGGAGCCAAACTTATCGTGTGTTGTGACCTGATAATACTACCCAGTATGCAGACTAAAGTAGGTGGAGTGGGGGACTATAACCCATGATCCGTTCGCTGAAAGCTAGGTGCTTAAGCCAAAGAGTGACATCTTTTCAGACCACTAAATTTGTGCATCTCCACTTTTTTTCTAAAATTTTAACCGGAGATTTACCATGTTATTTTGTGTTTATTTCTTGTCAAACCACTAGGTCACAACACTTCATAGGTGTTTGTTATCTTTACGGGATAAACCGTTATTAGTTGAATTCAGATGACATTAAAAGTCAATTTAAAACAGTTGGTTCCCTTTATGAATTTAGATAAAGCAATAAGAAGACGTAATTTGTCTGAATCGTGTTGTAATGTATTTGCGCAACACATTTCGAACGATCTGTTCATACACGGACTTGTCATAGGAAATTAATAAAGAGTTAAGAGGTGGGAAAATAGACTTAGGTCAAGTTAAAAGGACATACTGAAGGTCAAAATAACAATGATCACTAAATAACTTGTGTGAGTAACTTGATATGATTATGAGTGCAATAGTTTGTGCTCGAAACGTCATCAGTTAATATTACTGCATGACACTGTGTGATTTATCAAAATAAAATCTTATCCATAATGGAGTTACACTCTACCACAGTACCCAAGTTTTATACTTATATCAGTAAATTCCCGCATATGTATGGTTTGCCAAAAATACATAAACCCAATAATCCTCCACGTTCTATATTGTCAATGTGCAAATCCCCAACACATAAACTTGCTAAATGGTTAGTAGAATTATTGCATCCAGTCAAAACACAATTCTCTAGGTATGTGTTGAAAGATCGGTCGGTCGGTCGGTTTTCGACATAGAACTTTGCACATATATGCGGCAGTTCAAGTCGCCACACTCCATGTAGCACACAAAGGAAGAGAAGAAAGTAGAAGAAATGCATAATATAGACAGTAAACAGAGGTGTGAGACAAAGGAATAGTAATATCGAAGAACAATATAGTTTCATTTGAAATCATAAGTCACAAGGAGTGGATGCATCTGCGCCACTGCGAACGATTTTGAGCCATGTCACCAATCGTTTCCAACCATTGATTTTTACCGTCCCGAGGACCCCAACCAGAAAGTCTGCATCTTCCTATGTGGCTGGCTTAAACTAACTGTCGTAGATTTCATTGACTGGTGCCATGTTTTCGTTTGATAATCTGGGGGTCGGTGAAGTCCAATCCTACAGCATCATCTTACATTTTGCAGGGGCGAATCGCATGCCAAACATACTATGATTGTTGCTCAAGGTGTTCAGTAAACTCTGCATTTTGTCAGCGTCCTCGCCTAGAAGGACTTTGTCGTCTGCTTATTCTAAGTCGACGAGATTATTCCCTGGTAGCAGGTCAATCTCTGAGTCGCTGAAGTGTGTTAGGGTTAAGTCCATTAGTACATCTATGATGAAGTTGAATAGGAAGGGGGATAATGGGCATCCTTGACGGACGCCACTAGTCGTCACCACTTCAGATGACAACTCGCCATAAGCCCTCACTTGGCTGGATGAATTCGAGTAGAGTGCCTTAATCAGTGCAATGTATTTTCTTGGCATTCTCTTTACAGCCAAGCATCACCAGAGAACCTCCCGGTCGACAGAATCGAATTCCGCCTTTAGGTCAAGAAATATAATGATTGTCGGACGCCGGTAGGAATGCCTATGTTCTAGGATCTGTCGAAGTGTGAAGATATGATCAATACACCCTCTTCCTGGCCTAAAACCTGCCTGGTTTTCTCGTGTTTGTGTCTCCCGAGCACCAATTAGTCTACGCAGTATTATTGAGCCTAGTATTTTAGATACTATATTAGTCAAGGTAATCCCTCTGTGATTATCACAGGAAGACTTGTCTCCCTTCTTGTATATCGGGATGATCAGTGACATACACCAACCCGATGGGACTTCCTCTGATTCCCAGACGCTGCTTAGAACCTCAGTTAACGCAGACATTAATCTGTCTCCATCGTACTTAAATACCTCTGGAGTCAATCCATCAGGTCCTGCTGCTTTGCCTTGCTTCAGATTAATGACAGCTTTAGTAACCTCAATTAAGGACGGAGGACCTGTGTCTATCTCCCATTCAGGGAGGTGTTGGATGTTCGGCAGGTTAAGTGTGGCTGTGGGCCAATTAAACTGCTCCTCATAGTGTTCTTTCCAGCGCTCTAGACGTCTATCCTGGGAGCTAATTATGGTGCCAGTGTTGAAAGATACATTTGAATTGGTCAATTTTCTTGACGATGTTAATATTCTGATTAAGAATATGTACTCTTTTGATGTAAACTCTTTATTCGCTAATGATCACTAAACCAAATAACAGAGGTAATAGTACATCTGCTATGGTATCAAAACAAAGTTTACCAAGCAAGGTTTAATGTGACGACGAATTGTTGCTTTGAACGCATAAAGGTGGTTTAAACTTCCTAATTGCTGGGGCTTGCACAAACTTTAGGATACACCCTCCCCCAAACACGTTTTATATGTAGTTTTAAAAGATGTGTAAACATCAATTTTTTGTCCTGTCTCTATAATACGTTTCGCAATAGAGGAGCTATGTCGTCGTCTGTTCTCACCATTAATAGGTTTTGGGGATTCTATTTGCTTCTGGAGCCCTTGATTGCAGAGATCGATGAGTCCTCCCCATGTATGTGTATGTCCATCCAAATTGCTAAATACAGATTGAGTGAAATTCCGAGATTTTAAACACTACATAAATTCTAGCATCATGGTTTATTGGCACTATATGTGCCTTAAGACTGACTGACTGATTGATTGAGTCTAAACGTAAAACTTCGCAAAAAAATGCACCAGTTCAAGTGGTCATACTGCATATAATACACGAAGCTAGGCAGCTGGCTTAAACCAGCTGTCATGGATTGTGATCCCAGGTTTTAGGTTTCTCTGTTCGTAACTCTTTTCCAATGTCAGCTAACATTGCTCTTCGACTAAAGGTCGGTGGTTAACGGTGTCCCAGTTGATAAATTGACTTCTCTTCCTTACTGTAACACTTCCTACGCCTAATCTTCACAGCGCCTGTAATCATATGTGTGATATTCTTTGTTAATTTCACACTCAATCTCAATAGTGTCAGCTAGGCATATAATTTCATTTTGCTGTGGTAATTTTGAATTTAAAAGCAGTAAAGTTGTCGAGAATCATTATTTAATGTAAATGTATTTCAGTGTTAAATATTATTTATGTTTTATCTACATTTATGTATGCATTTATGTTACTAATTATGGTGATTTTTCTTTATCTTGAATCACGTAGGCTGTCGATTAAATAAGGTTTTAGAAAATAATCCTGACACTTAGTTGTAAATTGGTAAACTGTTAAATATTACCTAAGTGATACTTAAACAGTGCGTCAGCGGTACAGCGGTAGAATGCTCACCAACCACGCTTCACGTGGTTCGGTGTTCGATCCCCCGCCGCCGACGCACTCCTTTACGTCGCTAAGCCAGTAAGTAGTAAGACTAGTAAAGAGGGAAGGTTGGGCATGAAGCCAGCAACCTCACCCCGTAAAAAATAAATTCCACTGCTACGGATACTTTAAAGCTTTCTAGCTGCAAGTGCCTTATGTTCCAGCACTGGGAACATAAAGGAATAAAAAGTAAGATTCCTGAACAGTTGTTTCGCTCAAATTTTTTGCCTCAATATGAATTCCTTATTTCATCGCTCTCTTACACTGCTAGGAACATCGTAATCAAAAGAATTTTTAAAGTCCCGGTTTTGACATTTCAAAAATTCAAATTATCAGCGATGTACTATTGTTCTTTAGACAATCAGTAGTTAGTCGCTGTCAAACTCAGGACCTTGAATTGTTGTGTAGTTTTCCGAATCTGACTCACATTGCGTTTGTGTGAGTTAGTCATGCCGGTTTTGTTGTACAAAAATTGTTGGATTGTAAAGAGTAACTAATTAGTTGAAAATTAATTTTTGTTTTGAGCGATTTCTGTATTGCATGTCATATTAGCTGTACATTTTTTGAAAATTTTTTTATTCCTTTTTTACGTTCCAAGTGGAACATAGGGTTTCAAGTTATAGCTTTGAAGTTTCGGTAGCAGTGGTGTTTATTTTTTACGGGATGGAGTTGCTAGCCTCACGCCCAACCTTCCTTCTTTACCGGGCTTCCTACCGGCTAAGCGAGGTAAAGGGGTGCGTCGGTGGCTGGGGATCGAACCCCGGGTCATTTACTTGGTCAGCCAATGTTCTATCACTGCACTACCAACGCCAGCTGTACATTGAGAATAGATTATAAGCGAAAATTACGTGATTATGGAAGGTTTATGTTAAAACTTAGTCAGTGTTGTCTGGCTTTGGTTATACGTTTATAGATGGATCTGAGGCTGAGATATTTTCAGATTTCTTTAGCTACGTAGAGTAATTCTCCCCGAAAGAATACCTTCAGGAATCATGCATCGTCTTACTAATGTTCACGAGTCTTTGGTGATGCAAATCATTAGATCCTGAAAAGATACATTTGGCACTGATTTACAATAGCCCAATTTTACTACCTAAAGATTACACAAAAATACCGAAGGATCTCTTTGGGTTGTTTTACATCGCAGTGCTATTGAGTGTATCACGTGTACTTGTGAGAAATTCAATTTTAATGTCACTATTTTCTACTCAACTTTGGCACCGTCAGACTACCAAGAGTAGATCTTTATTAATCCAATCATCTTGTTCTGATTCTCCACCAAGAATTCCTAGTGCTAAGACAGCACAGTTATTTAAGGCGAGAATGTTTACATTGTACCTTTGTTTCGCTTAGTCATCATGTCTGGGAATAGAATATATTACAAGATGATGTAACTATTGGTTACTTATTTATTTCCATATAGTGTTACGCAATCCGCTTGGTTTACTCCCCAATGAAACCTTGAAGCAGATCGATGTATTTATTTTTATGTCTTCGTTATACTGTTATCTTTTTCCTGACTGTACATATATATATATATATGTATACGTATATTGCATTATATTGTAGAGTATACTTGATGACTGGCTGATTTTCAACACAGAACTTTGCACAAGAGCCATTGGTTCTTAGCATCCTGAAGAATCCACCCAAACAGTTGATTCCTCCTTATGTGCCTGACTCAAACTAACTGCAAGAAACTTTATGGACTAATGCAAGATTTTAGTTTGGTCACCGCTGATTCTTATCCACCCCAACCGTATGTCAGCTGACATTTCTCATCGAGGAAGACGATGCCTAATGGTGTTCTAGCCATCTCAATCGATTTCGCTTCGTTACCTAACTCTCCTCGCCGAGCCTCAGCATAGCTACCCACATTATATCACTTAACCTGACTGACAGAACGCAGAGTATACTCCTTGAATAAATGTAGTTAGAACATTGGAGACTTGACACTTACACCGGTTTCTAATCCATAATACACCTTACTTTGTTTCCCTGTATGCTGACAAGATATTATTGTCAAGTGCGTTTACATTTATGTAACGGGTACGCGTACCTTGACACAGCGTTAAATGACATAAATTTGTTCCATTATGGATGAATTGTGCAAGCTACACACTAGTTGTTAACATGATCTGTAAAGTGTTGGTTTTAACTGTGTGCCAAAAAATTTCATAAAACTTGACTACAGACAAATTCAAGCTCTCCAACTCATATATATATATAACTCCTTCAGTTCATCTCATCACTGGGATTGACGTTGAACTGTTTGCACTGTCATGACTTTAAAAGTGTCTCAGACAGTCATTTTCGTGTTATGTCTAAGTAACAAAACGGAATAGTGGTGTTTGCTACGTATGTCTGTTTGCCTGTAGTCTGTGTAGCCACAATCTGGATTTGATGTATTTTCTTTTGTTTATATGAGTATTAATTTTCATGCTGAGTGTGTTAGAGCACTTACAAATCAATATAAATCATTTGATTAATATATGTCGTCTACTTACTATAATTATTGTAATTATTAATTTTGTTACTAGACTCTATTGTTGTTTGATGTCTGAATAAACTCTTTTTCTGTCGTTATCTTTACTTATATAATGCAGACATAATATGACCGGTTCATCATCTTCGTTGAAGGATATTCATCTGTCTTTCTTTCTCTCTCTCTCTCTCTGTATATATATATATATATATATAAACTTGAGTTTGACAAGCTGTACCTCTTTTCGTGTAACTTCCTTTGTACTCCTTCTCATTGTAGTTTGATTGTCGCTAGGTGAAGACGCTTACAAAATACATCAAATGTAAGATAATGCTGCAGAACTGGACTGCACTGACTCCTAGTTTAAAGATAGACAGTGAAGTGGTTCAGCCTGTTGACTGACCACTTCACTAATTTGTCAAGTTGCATCAACCCCCACGCACTGACTGACTGCTACTGATTGCTGACGAAATCTCACCACTCATACAGAAAGCTCCTCTGGCTTTCGCCAACCTTCATCATCTCTCGTCTAGATATCCGTGACATGCGGCTATCGAAGAAAGGAGCATTTCGCTCTGTTCCTCTTTGTAGCTGTGAGACATGGCCATTGAAAGTGGAAGATATGAAGAGAAGAGGCTGACTAGGTGTCATCGACCATAGGTGCCTGAGTTCTATCCCCTGCCTTAAGTGGTATAATATGCTGAGTAATATTGATGTTAAGTGTAGTGGGTTAGGTAAGCTGGGTAAGTCGTTCAATGCGGTTGTGAAGCTGCATCGATTGAGCTGGCCAGGAAACGTGTTTTGCATGCCAGTTCGTTGCCTTCCTTGACAATAAATGTCACCAGGTATGTGATTAGGTTGGATAAGATTGAGGATTGATCAAATCAAAGCCCAGAACCTATCTATGAAGTCTTTCACCACATAGGGTTGTGTAAACAGCTTGATGGGGTTCTCCTAGATGCTAACTGACTGGTTGCAACATGTTACTTTTTTGCTGATGTCTGAAGGCGTACATTGGAATCACAGTTGAATTTGAACATTAAACTGTTTGTCATCAGAAGAATAATCTCTTATGAAAAAACTTACCTATCTACCGTACAGCTTGGAAATGCTGAATACATACCGCTGTGGTGACACGGAAAGTGCTGTAACAACTAACTAGTTTTATCAGTTTCATCTATCTTCTAATCAAAACCCACATCAACCTTTTTCTTGTCTCGAAGTGAAGAGGAACGCGTGCGTTGCAGGTTGTCCTTCAAATTAATCTCCATATATCGAAGTTAAACGAAAATTGTATTACCGTGCCGATAAATATGACGTGTGACAGACAAATGATTCAAGTATTTGTTTTGTAGGGATTTTGATTGTTGATTGATTGAAGGATTTCATCATGAGCTGACATCAGTTAGAGAACCATTGGAAAGCCGGCACCGGAGTACTAGACAGCTGTTTCCGTTGTCCTAGTTTGTGTGACTTTTTAAATCCCAAATTATAACGCATATTAGTGTCGACTGTCGAGTTTGGGAATAGATACTCACCGATGAAGTGATCGTGCTATATTGTGAATTGACAGAAGTTAGAATTCATGGGCTGGTCATTGGATAGGGTCCCAGTGGCCTAATGGTCTACGAGCTCGCTAGCCTTGTAACCAGAAGGTCCTGGGTTGGGTGCATACCGATGAGGATTCCCAAACTAGGACAACGGAAACAGCTGTCCAGTACTGCAGTGCTGGTTTTCCAATGGTTCTCTAACTGATGTCAGCTCACGGTGAAATCTTTCAGTCAATCAAACAAATGATTCCGCAGATTCCAACAAAACTAGTTGATGACACTTTTCATATCATGTATAGGTAGGTTACAATCGTGAGTAGTTAAAAGTAAATTGTAAAATTATAAAACATTTTAATGAAAAATGAACAAAAAGGTATCGTTTTATTGATTTGCGTGTTGACTTATTATTATTATTTTACAGGTATACCATTGATGATTCTTATGGTTGACTTTGTGGGAAGAAAAATTACCATGGCTATATGGAATGGACTTATATCTATCCTTTTCATGCTACTCTATCTGTGTATGCCTAAATTGGCCATGACAGCTTTGTTGTTTGTGTTGCGTGCACTCTCTGCCGGTTTATTCAGTCTTTCATATGTTTATACTACTGAGGTAAGCGTGAACGAGTTTGTTACATATATTATATATATGCACCTATACGAAGAAATTAGTATTTTCACTGAACACTAGTAAGCGTTAGTCACCTGTAAATTAGTAAACAGTTTCTCAAATGATCTTCCAGCTAGTTAGTGTGATCCACTCACTGTTTTAATGTGTGTCTTCATTTCTTAAATGGATGTCAAGTTTCTATCACGATTATCGAAGATTGTTCCAAGCCAATATATTCACAATTCGAAGCTTTTTAGGCTTTGTTGACTGATTCTTCTGCAGTGGAGAGTTTGGAAATTGTTTAAATTCTTGTTTGTCATTGTGTTATCTTATTTTTTCTTTTCCGAACAAGGCTTATCTATCCCAAGTTCGCTGGTTATCCTCTTATATCAGCATACAGCGGAAATACATGTATTTATAAAATCTGCTGCTACAGGACTGGACTACGTCAACTCCTAGCTTAGTGATAGAGAGTGAAGCCATAGAACATGTTGACCACTTCACCTATTTGGGAAGTTGTATCAGCACCAACGCATTGATTGGTGACGAAATCTCAGCACGGATCCAAAAAGCTCGGGCTGCTTTCGCTAACTTACACCGTCTCTGGCGTAGGCGTGACATCCGGCTATCAACCAAGGGACGTGTGTACTGCTCAGCAGTTCGCTCCGTCCTTCTTTATGGCGGTGAGACGTGGCCATTGAGAGCGGAAGACTTGAAGAGATTGTCTGTTTTTGACCACAGATGTTTACGATCTCTTTCTCGCGTTAGGTGGTATAATAAGGTAAGTAATGTTGACGTTAGGCGTAGAGTGTTGGGCAAAGAGGGAAAGTCAATCGACGAGGCTATAAAGTTACATAGATTGAGATGGCTAGGTCACGTGCTGCGCATGCCAAGCCATCGCCTCACCCGACAGGCATTACTAGCTGAGATAGGTGCAGGCTGGAAAAGAGTAAGTGGTGGCCAAACAAAAACATGGCATCAATCCATGAAATCCCTGACAGTTAAACTGAGTCAGTTAGGGAGATGCAGACTTCCTGGTTGGGGCCCTTGGGACTCTAAGAATCAATGGCTGGAGACACTAGGTGACATGGCTCAAAATCGATGTCAATGGCGCAGATGTATTCAGTCTCTGTAATCTTCCATATTTCTTTCTACCATTACTTATTCTGTTTCACTCTTATACCTGTCAAAACTCTATTGATTCTTTACACTCATTTTCTTGTCTACCTTTGTGTGCTATTTGGAACGTGGCAACTCGAACTGCTGCACTTCGGTGCCAAGTTCTATGTTGAATCCAGCCAGCAGGAGTAGTGGATCATGCAACAGACCATGCACCGTCCTGGGTGACAGGGTGACAGTCTAGGAGATCTGAACATTTGCGGATGAATTATGTCTTTATGTCGCACAAAACAAAAGATTTACAAGTGAAAATCAATAAATAGGTGGGAGTCAAAGACAGTTAGAACAAGGCTTCTGGTGAAGGCAGGGAGATGATAAAGATGCCCGACCATTAAGAAAATACACTGATCCCTATGAGTGAGAAAAATCCAGAAGGAAGCCTTTTATTTCACTTACATGAGCAGAATTGTCCGAAATACAGGTGGCACAGATGACAAAAAATGCTCAGTCTAGCCAAGGTTAGGAAAGCAAGAAAACTGTTCATTGCCGTGAGATCAGTTTTGAGATCAACAGCCACTGCCTGGTATAAGCCAAAAGATCCGAATTTTCAGCACTAATGTCAAATCAGTCAGTGTTTCTCTATGGTTCAGCGACTTGACCCTTCACGAAGGGCATTTCCAACAGGCTACAGACTTTCATCAATAGCTGCATACGCTTGATTTGGAAGATCAGGTGGTCAGAAAGAATTGGCAACAAGGAAGTCTGGGAACGAACCATGCTAGAACCTAATGCCTATTAATTATGCAGCAGAAAATGGTAATGGACTGCGCATTCACTGAGAAGACCGTTGATTGACATCACGCACTAGACCCTCGACTGGTACCTGAATAGGAAACAGTGTATTGGCTGTCTGAAGATGACATGGAGGAGTTAGTGTGAAAAAGAAATGAGAGCTTATGAGCAATCATCGAGTTAGCTAAAATATAACGAAATGACAGTCTGTTGTTGCAGACTTATGTTTCACTCAGAAGTAAAGGACTGAATAATAACAATAATATTAATGGTAATAATAGACAATCTGTAGTTTGTAGTAACTAATTCAAGTGTAATTATGTGTTGTATGTCTTCACGCCTCGTTGTCCGCTACCATCCACTATGATAGCTCTCCTCGGATTTATAGGTAGCGTGAAAAGTGATGTTTCGACGTTTTGAAAGATGCTCAACTAAAAGTTATGCAATTTGACGACATGTCTGTTTAATTAAAAGAAAAACAGAATGGGTTATTCGAAACAGTATGTTTCAGAGGAGATAGTGCGTTAGTAGTTCAAAGTTTAAGTAGCTCCCGTGGTTCGGTGATGGAATTCTGGGTTCGATTCCTGGGCAATGCACTCACTCCTCAACCTCGGCTAACAGAAGCAGTAACCCCGGTAAAGGCGTAATGTTAGACAGCATATCTCCATTGTCCTATTGTCTGAGGTCCTCTTCATCTGACACCAGGATTGCTCATGATCTCTCGTCTCCACTCATGATATCTATGTCACTCTCGGACGCCCAATTCGTCGTTTTCTGTTCGGCTTCCATTCGAGCTATTACCTGGCCATCGATGTCATTAGACGGTCTCCTCAGTTTATGTGCAATCCATCTCCATTTTAATCTACATATCTAAATTTTGTTCTGTATGCTGAGTGAGGATTTCCAGCGATGATTTCGAAGCGATGAAGGTTTGTCTTGCCTTTCCGATTCCCGTTTTGACGTCCTCATCCGTGCCGCCTGTAGTTATTTATGTCGCCATAATTTACATTTAATGAAAACAACCTATCCAGTCTACATGTGGGCATTATGCCTTACTCTTTCGTTTTGTCTTCTGTCCAAGGTTTATCCAACAACTGTTCGAGCAGTAGCTGTCGGCACCTTCAGTTCAATTGCTAGACTAGGTGCTATGGTCACACCTTATGTAGCTCAAGTAATGATGCCGGAAGTATCACAGATTGGAGCCTTGTGCTTGTATGCTGCTATAACTGCACTAGTCTCATTGCTGTCAATTTTCCTGCCAATAGAAACAAAAGGACGTCAGCTACCGGTTTGTTATCAACTTTTTTTTGTTTTGCTACTTACTTACTTTTTATGACATTCAATAAGTGAATTTTGTCATGAACACTGTTCACTTGATGCAGCCAATGAATTATTCATTAATTCCCCGTATGATTAATTTATGGTTTATCAGTAGTAAATATTCCCCATTTAAGGATGTTTCACTAGTGAAAACTAGATGCGTACTGGGCGAATGTATCGTTTTACAATTCTCCTAGAGGATCTATTTTGAATCATATAGACACCAGTATCCGACCCTGGTTGGTAGGATTTGATGACGGTAGTGATGCCTCCGACACCAGTATCCAGGTCACAGATTTCTCTACAAATGACATATACACACTGAAATTGTAGGTAGCTGTAAGGAAAAATATTTTCGAGATTTACTGGAGAAGATGAGAAGATTTGTAGTTGAAACTGACCATAAGCTTATCTGTCTATGACAGTTAAAGTACCCGACTATTTGAATGAATGAACAATATCGGCCCATAAACTGAATTCATTCCAAATGGTAGAAACAACCATATGTAATGTAAAAGTTATAAATGTATAAATCTCAACGTATTTGAAAAAAAATAATTCCAGCGTTACGTTCGACAAAAACTGATCTGATCTCATTCACGGAGTATGACTTTTACTTATGTATACTATTCACTTGGCGTCCAACTGCTGTGGAACTATATTCGGTTAAATCGTGATCACAGTTTGTTGACAAGTAGAAGAAACTAGTTAGGAAGAGTGAGGGGGGGGGAGTTTCTAAACAAAAAAACAGACAATGATGAACAATTAGTAAACTACAGAAAGGATAAAATGATTATGAATCATTAAGTGGTATGTATCCCCAGGGCATATGGAAATTGATTTGAGGCCTGACATAGCACGTTCAAAGAGGCGTTTGACTTTGTCACATGACACTCATGATTTACATGTTCCGTATTTGCTTGGATGCACGTTAATAGCTTAATGGTAGTCCGGAGTTCGAATCCCGACCAACTCACCCCTTAAGGATGCTTAGCTCTAATAATAAGCCTGATAAAAAGATGATAAAGTTGGGCGTCAGACTAGCAGTATTAACATTGCCACTGAAACTTCACATCTGAAGCTTGAATCCCTATGTTCCACTTGGAAGGTGAACGAGTTAAATAATAATACCTAATAAATAATATATACTTGGATGGTATTTCCTTTGCTTGTGGAAATCATTTACATTTGTACCCAGATGTGTTTATTTACTGCTTACGTTGTTTAATATAATAAATATTTTGGTTTCCTTCCCGCACACTTCAGAGTTCCCCTATTACAGTGCCATCAGAGGAGACTCCATCTCTTCAAGTTGCTAAATAAATCGCCTTCTTTTGGGGTAGAAAACAATATGATCTTGGTGTTTCATCAGTCTGTTCGGTGTGTTGCTGTTTTTTTTCTTCATTATATTTCAAAGGAATACAATTCATGCTAGTTTCAGCTAGTGTGTCAGAAGATCTCGTTCTTTTCTTTTCATAATTTTCTTACAATGTAATATCAACAGAGATTTATCTATGTTCTTTTTTTATCGCTCTTTACTACAAAGTGATATTTTAAAAAATAAATATGAAGTTGACCGTTGAAATAATAATCTTAATTCTCATTACCAAACAACACTGAGTTGTTTATTGTTGTTTTTGTTTTTGGAATAGATTTTGTTCAATTGTGCCTGTGTTTTTCCTCCTCAAAAAAATGGTTTCCTCTTAAAAACTTGTTCTTTACTGTTCCGTCTTGTTCCGTGCTATTTTTCTTGTTCATGCTGTTGTTGTTATTGTTCCCTCTGTCTTGCCTTTTCTGATAACTGTGATTGTGAACCCTTAGACTGCATATTACTATGTGATCATCTTACTCTGGACCAACTGTTTCTCTTTTTCTGTTGTTTTATTTTGATGGGTTTCCCTTTTGTATCACTGTCATATTTGTATTATTTTTCTCTCTTTGTGTGTTCTTGCAATTCCCTTTGATGACTATACAACAGAGATACCATGTTAACGACAGTAATAATAACGATGATGATGATGATAATAATAATTATAATAATAATATTTTCTTGTTTTTGTAGAATAAAAAAATATTTCGATTTCCTTCTTCCCACTTGTTGTGAAATTGTGAATTTTCTCATAATCTGAGCTGAAGTTCACTGATATACTTCTCCCAAGACCTAACGTTTTGTTTTATCTCTGTAATGCATGGAGTAGACAACTAGAAGCCAGAATTCGTAGACGATTGAGTTGAGTCCCACTGGCTGAATCATCTATGAGCTAGTCTTGTAGCCGGAAGGTCCTGAGTTGCAATCCTAGTGGGTAGAGGGTACTGTTGATGAGTCCCAAAATAGGACGAAACAGCTGTCCACCAGTACTCCCTGGTTTTCAAAGGTCCTTTAACTGATATCGATCCGTGGTCAAACTCAAAATGGAATCGTTATTTTAGTAAGGTATCGTTTTCATTGGTTTTCTTGGTTGATGTAGATCCACCTCGAAGTGCAAATTAATTTTAACATACATATAAAGCAATCAGTGCCCTTGTATGAATTTCGAATAAAACAATAAGAAAAAGACGTAATTTCTGTGAAACGTGTAATGTTTGTGTGAGGCACACATTTCGGATATTCTGATCGCACACGTGCTCTCCATACGTATTTATGTAAAAGGTAATAGAGATAAAAGGGTCAAAATTTGATCAGTGCTGGTCAAACTGTTTACGAGTCACGATTACGGATAAGAAAAAGGGGGGTGAACATATTATTACGTAAGAAGAAGTCTTGGTTCGAAGTCTCAAGTTCAAAGTTATAACTAATCATTTCTGAGCACATTGGACAGGTTTATGGCTATGCCTTCAACAAATTGAAGCATATAACTCAAACTTGTTTTATGTATGCAGTTAAAGGCAATACACTGAAGTCATGTTTATTACCCGACTCTATGGCATGCCTTGTGGAAGACGAAGTTGGATTCATTGATTCAGACGATTTTATTTGTCCCTTAGGAATGCGTTCTGTAACTCTGACCTCCAAAGATGTATGGATACTCCCGATGTATGTGTGATCACACGTGGTAGGCAGAGTGGGATGTGATGCTATCGTTCCGGTGATATAAGGATTTACAGGGCAACATAAATTTTGTCAGCTGCATAGTAAGTTCTGTTGAATTCCACTCAGAGTCTTTGTTTGGTGTCCTCCCTATATATATGTTTCAAGCATCTGAACAAGAGTTTCTATAACATTTGTCTCACCTTTATAATTGAAGAAATTCATATTCTGAAGGATGGAAAGTAAAACAATGCATCAAGCTGATTTCCTAAGACTTACTGTTACCAGTTAATTTATGAAGTAGACGATTGAAAATTTTCATCTGTGTGTGATTCGCATTTGTTTATACTCATTATCCGTCTATTTAACTTCATGAATGGGGACAATTTCAATTTGCCTTTAGGTTCACTGATATTGATAAATTTATAATCCTTATTAAGTGAAGAAAACTCCTTGTGTTGATTCCCCCCCCACACCCCTATACGTAGAAGCTAATTTCCCCTAGTAGATAAATGATTGGATGTCTGACTCTTCAAGATAGTCTTGTAGTGACAGACAACTAACTAGTAATAAAAACGAGTGATCATTGGAGACCAAATGAAAGTTTCGGTCTACTGGTCTGTTGATTACCAACCCACGGAACCTTTTAAGTAGTCTCTTCCTGATAAGCAGCATAACCAAACTACACTTAGAATTTTTTGTAATTATAGCTTGATTCCACACCGTATTTTTGGTACAAGTATGGAATTTTGAGCATCTGATATCGGTAGCCCAACCATCCATGTCAGGTATGCGTCGGCTGGGGGTGGAACCCCGGACCATCTGCATGTTCAGCACTCCCACTTATGCATAGAATAATGGTGAAAAACAACAAATTGATCGAGTTCTGTTCACAATTTTCTTCATTTCTGTTATTTGCAGCTTCATCCATCACCCCTATGTTCAAGATTTCTGCAAACGATGTAATAATATGTGTTGATTTCTCATTCCATTAAGTTCCGAGTAGAATATAAGGCTTCAAGCTCCATCATGAGACAGAATTTCTCATGCCAGCCAGTCGTTCTGGACTAGAACATACTTTTGTTTCCGCTAGTCGAGCTGTGATGTGTTTATCCCGAATTGGTCAGATATTTTAATTGGATTATGAATCTCCATCATCTGTTATGTTTACTCAAGAAAGTTTGAGATTGTAAACAAAATGCATAAATAAAAGATGGATTGAAAGACTTATAATGTTTGTTATGCGTAGAGTTACATGAATTCTTGCAAAGAAATACTTCAGTTGAAGTTTACAATATGCGATAAAATAAAGAAATCAAATAGAAAATATGCTGTAGGATGACTGGCACCAGTATGAATAATTTTCACACTGTCGACCGCCTCTAACATCTTAATTAGTCAGATATATCATAATCTGGTGGCATTTCACGGTTTCGAGGTGGAATTATTTACCTTCAGCTTGTAAAAACGCCCTTTGGTGCTCACTATACTTCTCTGCACAATACTTGGATCTTGATTGGCAACTGGATATTTCACCCAGTGTGTGTGTGTGTTGACGACTGTCAGATGTGTACTTTTTTTTTATTACAGTTTGATTCCACACCGTATCTTTTGGTACAGGTATGGAATTTTCAGCATGTGATATCGGTAGCCCAAATTTCGCAGGCCAACCACAGATATCAGGTGTGCGTCGGCAGAGGATCGAACCTCGGACCATGTGCATGGTCGGCGAGAGCCCTAACCACTGTGCCACCGACGCACAAAACATAAGCACCCATATGCCAGAGCTCCCGGTCCCGCGAAATTCCGCACCCTGGCCTCCAAGCAGCTAGATTACAGGCGCACGCCACCACGCCCAGTCATAGTGACTGTTGATGTGTTCAACCACTGCATTTCTGATTTATAAACTTGAAATACCATTTCACTTGCGGAAAACATGTGTATGTAATATACACCCAGTTTTTAAATGTTTGTACACCACTCTACATTTCGCAGGCATCCCCTCACCAGGGATGGATCAAGATCGTGTCTTCACATTCTGAGCAAACTAGGCGCTTTTTGAGAAGGTGAAGGAAAACCTCCTGGAGGATCGGGATGTACACGTAATTCTTTTGAGTTGATTTTTGAGAAATAAATCTAATCTACAAAGTGAAGAACAACCTTCCGAAGATAGTACGATTCCGTCTTCTTTGCATGGCAGAGGCCCTAGCCATAACTGTGCATACAAAAGAAAATTACTCAACCACTCCTACTCTCATGGTAACAACTCTGTTGATTTGACTTAACTTTTGTTTGTTTGTTTGATTTGACTTAACTTTTGTTTTTATGCTTATTTTTCTACTTAAAAACCCTTGTGTAATTCCGTATATTTTGTTCGCATGTACACCCTGAGTACAACTCTTTCATCAAACTATTCATGTTACTATGTAACTCTTTTTTAACAATCGTTTGTGACAACTCATCACTTTTATTACTACCCTCTTATGTCAACATCCAATTCATGTGAACTTACTAATTGTATTTTCGTTTGACAAATTTAATGTACACACACATACAAAACAACCATATGCTTCGGTTACGTCTGACGAGCCACCGCCCTTCTCGTCGAGCAATGTTAGCTGACATAGGATGAGTTTGGAAAAGAGTGGTGAAACAAAAAAATGGCATTAATCGATGAAATATTTGTCTGTTGGTTTCAACCAACCACGAATGAAGATATAGACTGCGTGGCTTGTTGGGGACCTCGGAATGCTAATAACCTAAGTCCGGAGACCGTTGGTGATATGGCACAGATATATTCACTCTGTGTATGCTTTCAAATCCATTTAATCTCCTTGTTTATCGATTTTACTGTTCTTTCTCGCGTACATTTCTGCTCTTTATAATTCCTTTGAATTTCTTTTCTCTACCTTTGTGTGCTACATGGAATGCATCAACTTGAATTGCTACGCTTCAGTACGAAGTCATACGTTCTAGTTCAGTCAGACATGACCTGAGATTTGAGATATTGATTTTCTCAGTATTTTTCAAATTTATTGCTAAACAAGAGACTGTCTTGCAAATTTGTAGTACACTGTCAATGCTGCTCATATAGCGTGAAGTCTGAAAGATGTATTCAAGCCTTCATACTTTGACGTCCTTGCGACTGAATTTCAAAATTTTCTTTTTTTTCTAGGTGACTGTGTCAACTAGATATCTTTTTGCAGGATTCTCTTACGTTGTTTGAAGTGTGGGCTGGTGGTGAGATCTGTTATAGGCACTGGCTTATGACAATGTTCCTACCAATTCTTAGCGATCTGGCTACCTGGAAAATATTAAAATAATCCAGCTGACTATCAACCAATCAGCAGGAGCGTTATTTTAGTGAACAATCCTTTTCGATTTTCGATAAGCTTACAGGAGACACGCATCCAATACCCGGATTTGGCCAACAGGGTGGATTTGCGAAATTTACCTCCAGGGTGTCAGGAGACCCCTCAGCTAGTTCGCAGGTGTAGGGATAGCACTGAGTGTTAGGGCAGAAAAATCCCTTCTTGACTGGATCCTAATAGATAGTCGTATGTGTGCGGTCCATCTGAACGGGTCCGTTAGAAGAACGAAGGACGGCGTTATCTGTCATTGCCTTTTCATAGTCTCCACTTACGCCCCAACAGACTGCAGTTGGGATGAATTAAAATATGACTTCTACCTGAAACTGTCTAATTTGCTGCAATTGCAAAACGTTCAGATATAGTTGTTTTAGCAGGCGAATTCAATGGCCTAGTAGGGAAGTTGTGCCATACTGAGAAGTATATAGGTGGTACGTATGGAGTTCTCTGCCGGCAAACCGACAACGGTGATCGTCTTCTACAGTTCTGTTCAGATAATCATCTGTTCCTAGTCAGCACTAACTTTAGGCACAAAGAGAGACACTGCGTAACCTGGCAACCTCCATCATCAAATCAACGTTGGACTCAGATAAACCACATGGCGATAGGGTATCGTTGGCGAGGGTCAGCAGAAGGCTGCTGCTCCTTTTGGAACACGTGCGTAAACTCCGATCACTCTCTGGTTAGTGCACGTTTATGCTTACGATTAAAACGACAAAAGATTGTTGGCAGCGAAGCAGTTACGTCCCTAAATAGATCGAGACTTTGA